CCCCGTCAGCCCTTTCCGGTCCCAGGAGAGGGAGGGGCGAGTAGGAGAGCTCTGTGCGCCTCCGCGCCAGCCCCTCTCCCCCCCTGACCCGCGAGTGGGGCTGCACCCACGGCTGTCTCGCTCCAGTCCGGGCTGGGACTCACCCTACCAGTCCGGGAGACCCAAAGGCAGCGAAAACACAGGAAGCAGGAGAGGGACCCGAGTTAGAGCTTGGGTAAGAGCGCGAAGGGTGGGCGGGGGTCTGGGAGATTCGTACCGTCCCCGGAAACAGCTTTGTGGGAGCCCTGTCCCCTCTCCGGAGGACGCCAATTCCAGAGGGAGGGGAGTTTCCAAAAGAACCCACCCCGGGAGACCGAGCCACCTTGGCTCCTTCAGTCACTACTCCGGGGACGGCACCACCTGGGAGCCTCTGAAGAGCGGGCAAGGTAGAGAAAGTGGGATGGGCATGGGTGGGAGCGCGCTTGGCTAGGAGCTGGGTGCTGAGAGGAGGCAAGAAAGGGATCCCGGAGGCTGGAGGTAAGAAGAGCGGCCACGGTGGTCCAGCAAGCCCTGGGCGAGTGTCCGGAGTTAGGCAAGCTGTCCCGAGCTGGGGGCGCAGGCTGGATTTGGGGGAACGGCGCGCGCTCCACGTAGGGGGTCTGGTGGTGGGCACAGGAGCTTAGGGTGGGCGATTGCAGTGCGGACGGCTGGGAAGATGGGGGTCTGGGGTGCCAGAATTGTGTTGGGGACCGAGACATCTCCCTGTTTCCTCCTAAATTCCGTGGATGCCTGGTGCATCCCGGGACGATCCGAATCCGGACCAGGTGCAGCCCGGGCTAGCGGCACCTTGGGAGGGGGGCACGTTGGTTCCAAGGACCCGCAGCCCTTGGAAGCCCACCGCTGGGTAGAGCAAGGCAGCCGTGGGCACTTTTCCCCTAACTCTGTACCAGGGCTGTTGGGCTAAGATTGCAGCATCCCGCGCGTCCTGGGACTGCCAGGTGGCTATCCACCGTCCAGATGATCAAAACTGCTGTTTGAATGATGGTGTGCGGGTTAAGAGAACTAATAATAACAATATAATAGGGCGAGAAGAAAGGCAGACGGCAGCACAGTACACTTCCCCGGGCAGGCTGAGTGTCTCCTAGGCACTCAGGAGACAGAGGTGCCCGGTGAATGGGACTGCAACTTGCACCCATCGGGTCTCTGCTGCTTCCCTGGAGGGATACATTACTGGTAGAGGCAAAAGGTGCATGTGTGTGTGCCCAAAGGGGAGTTCCCCACTCCCCACCCCAGGGGGATCTCAGGGACCCCCTAATTTGTGTGATTGGGGGCTTTCAGGGGACCCAATAGAGGACAGACAAGGGGCAAAGCAAGGGTTTTGTTTTTCAGGCTCTGTCTCCCCTCCATAGCCCCTGCCCCTTCCCTGCCACCTGCAGTCTGGTGACTTAGAGGGCTGCATTGGCTCACCCTGCATTCAACCCCTACAGCATTACCCCACTGCAGGGGAATATTCTCCAGCCCCTTTATTCCCGGGTATGTAGTTATTAGCAGCAAAAAATGGGACTAGGAAAGGAATCTGGGCAAGGAGGAAAGGGGTCTTGCAAAGGCACACACACACAAAATCTATAGGAGAAACCTCTAGGAGCATCTAAGATTTAGATATGAATATTCACTCGGCTTTGACATCCGTCCCGGGTTCGATAGCTCCCGGCTTCTCAGCTGCTGCTGACCAGCCGACACCTGACCATGCTCTCTTTTAAGAATTCTCTTTCAGAACATTAATTACCCTTTTGGGGGCTAAACAAGCAGAGAATTATTAAAGTCCTTTGAGTACCTCCCTAGGGTCAATTGCTAGGTGTCAAACATTGAGAATTTCCAGGTTGTAGCCCCAAATCATGGACATAACATTGAGCCGGGAGATTTTTGCCGGGTGGAGGTTGCTGCTGTGCTCTGCACCGTGTGGTAGAACTAGCACCGGGGGAGATTTTTTGGTTGGAGGTTAATCCTAGGGCACCCTACATCCCCGACCGACCAGCAGTTACCTGAGAGCAGGATGGACTTGGTTCCATAAAGCTACTAAAGGTGTGTGAGGACTCAGCCCTTGACCTTAATGTAGACAAAGTTTCAAAATCAGGGAGCACACAGGCATGGGGGTATGATAAACCTTAAATGTGTGTGTATAAGCAGGAGAGACCCAGGCTGATGAAAGTGCTAATTGTGTGAGAGACATCGGAGGGAAATCTCTGGAGGCAAAAGGCTTCGGGGAAGGTGACATCCTGGCCCTGGGATGGAGGACCGGCTCCCTGGTCTCTCGATGAACTTTGTCAGCAGCCGAGGTTTATTGCACATGAAAGAGGTTTGCACCTGTTAGAAGCACTTGGCGTTTGCAGACATTTAACTCTTGCTGTCTGAACATGGTCAAAATAGTGTCTATGTAGAAACGGCCTTGCAGGTTGCTCCTGGGAGCGTGGGCAGTGACCTCGGGGATGGTCTGGGAAGAGGAATCGGCAGCGTGTTTGGAAACGCAGAAGACCCAGCCGTGGGTTCTGCAATCAATTCGGTGGATACGGGTTACACTTACAAAAAAAAAAAGTGAAGTGGAGTAGAATAGAAAATAGCAAAGTTCATTTTTTGTGACAGTTGTGAGCCCGGTTTCTTGGAACTTGTGTTTCTGCGGTGTAGGTATAGACGTGCACCGAGATGAACAGTACAGTATATTTCTTTCTGTGACTCAATCAAAAGTATCTCGACACAGCTCGGTTATAACAAGCCACGCTTCAAATAGAATACCTTGTATTTGCAAATAAATCTTTGAATGAAATTAGTTGGTCAAAGGGGTCCTTAGAAAATAAGCATCTTAACATGTGGCAATCACACATTTGTGATATTTTCAGGTTTCTTATGAGACTGAAAAAATTCCCCATCTTTAGGAGACTATGCCCCTTTTCATCTTTAAAAATGTTGCCTTGGGGCAGATATTAATTTAGAGAGAATTGTATATCTTGTCTTCCACATTTGGCTACTAAAACACAGCCTCCTGATGCAAACTCCACTGCAACGCTCAAACCCCGGTTCCCGTGGCCGAGGAAGAGAATGTGAAGTTCTGCCACTAACAATGGGAAGGTTGAGTGACCTCCCAGCTCCGACTCTCCAGAGCAAGGTTTACATCTGCAAAACCAGGATTTAGACCATCTCACTTTAACGCCATTTATGATGCTAGAATCCAGTGACTTTTTGAATTGCAGTGAGTGGAAGGAAAATTGTCTGCTATTAAAAATGAACTCTGCTAAAACTTGTGCTTGTTATATATGATAATATAAAAGAAGGTCACCTTTTGGAGGGACTTAAAAAAGTCATTTAATTCTATTTAGAAACAATATCATTTATCAGGTTTAATGAGTTACCTTGCTTTCCTTGGAAAGCAATTTTAGAGAAAAGCCAATATCCACCTTTAAGTTAACTCCCTGATCAGCAAAGTTTCCCTTACATTGAAATTCAGCTCAGTCCTTCTGTTAGCAATTTAATGCATATTTAACATTACGTTATGTCACCCTGAGCTGTCCTAGCCCCCCAAAGGGGACTCAAAACATTTAAAATGCAGCCCCTACCCTCAAGAAGCCCACCATCTATTTGAGGACATTTGTTTTTTTCCTATTGTAACCTCCTTCCAAATAGACAACAGCTGGTGATTATCCTGTATATAATTACCCTTCACAGATTTACAGACCTCATCATGACAGAGAGAATAATAATCCACCGTGGTGAAAAATGAATATTTTCATCTTGAAACAATTTGAACTTCCACCTGATAGATCAAGCTCTCCTGAGGGCAGTCTCCGGCTTCTACTTTCCACCTCTTTTACAGAAATAGGGGCCGGTGCACTTGTAGGTCTCTCTTCTCTCATCATCTTTCAAAGCGTGTAACACAGTTGTGTTTCTCTACAGAATATCTCCTAGCAGGGGAAAAAAAACAAACTCCACTTAAACTAGCAAGCAAGTGTCCTTCCAGATTATACGTCCATACACGACACTTGGGTTAACTGCTAACTTTATAAATAAAATAACTCCGGGCAGGAGGCGATGGCAGAGGCATACGCCGGTAAGTAGCAGTGGAAACTAATTGCTCCCTCTCTGATAAAATTGGGAAATATCCAGATATTTTCCTAAGCTCCTAGAGAGAATTCTAGGTGAAAATCCAGGAGCTGGGAGAAAAACGCAGGAGCAAATTGATGCATGCATTCATTTATTAATTCATGAAATAAATAACGACTGAGTTTTCAAAGTTTGCATTCTACTGGGAGGATGGAAACAGATAATATAATAAGAAAATAGGGTGTTAATCTCGGATAATGACAATGACATGCAACCATGGACAGAGGACGGAGAGGCAGGCATGGCTAGTGCTGTGCTAGGATGCTCGGGGAAGGTCCCCCTGGAGCTGAGATGGGAATGAGAAGGAGCCAGCCGTTCTGAGCTCCCTCGTAAAAATCTCCTACCGGGCCACTTCACCCACCGTTAAATGAAAACAAATGTCACTTGGCTCAGGTACCTACTCTTTTTTTGTGATTGTGTGTATTTGTGCAAGGCTTTCTGCACTTTAGTCTGTGCTCAGGAATCAGGGAGAGGGGAGGTATTTGGTTTGCAGTAAGCGATACAGGTAGTGGTAATTGTAAGGATTCTGGTCCATGTGCAGTTAAATTAGGAGAGAACGCTCACATCGCATTAGCTTTTCGGCTTGGGTTATCTCGGACTATGATGGCAGAGTGCTGAAATGCAAGACAATTTACAGCATTACTCAGAACTAATGTAAAACTTGTCTTTAATACCTTAGGACTCTCAGTTTTCCCTTTTCTGATGAAAAATCAATGCCTTTATTGAACTCCGATCACCTACTATATGTTATGCATTATACTAGGCACTTTAATGTATTATCTCATTTTAAGTCTATGAAGTAGGTACAGTTATTATTGCAAAGGGGCAGCGACTGGTGCTCAATGAGTTAAATGACCAGAAAAGAAGCCCAGATTATTAGGCTGCCTCTTAGAATCTCGGTGTGTATAAATATATAAAGAACCTTGATTCAGGAATTACTCAGCACAAATATGTATATGTGTATATATATATTATAGACAAAAAATAGTGAGGCATAAGATTATTTTCATTGGCACTTCTGTACAGTTTCACGGATGTTTAAATGACAGCCAAAGAAATCTTTCAAAAAATAATTTCTGTTTCAGCCAACCAAAAACTGAACACCTCATCATCCGAATTGCAGTGAATTTTTACCTGCCAGGCATAGAATAGTCTAATGGAGGAGTCAAACCATTTAAACAATTAATAACAATTCAAAGAACTACAGCAGAAGTGTGTTACAGTGCCCTGGGAGCTCAGAAGAGAGGGGATTAATTCTGCCTGGGAAGAGATTTGTTTTTACTAGTTATCGTCTCTCTGAAATCTAATACTTTGGCACTAACAGACTCTGGTGTGGGTGGGCGAGTGTTACAAAAGTGGAGCTTTACGTGCCCCAGAAATAGAATTATCCTTTTTTAGCATAAAATAAGAGGTGACATTTTCAATTACATGGTAAATATACCATGAATGAAATCGTATAACAGTAGAATATATTGTCCACACAACTTTCCTTTGGATATTGTGTTTTAAACACTTTATAACATTGTTTCCAGTTCATAGTTTAAGCAAAAAGAAAAAAAAATGATTTGGATGGTAATGTTTCATGGGCAGGGCCTTTAAAGGATGGGAAATAAAATGGAATAAGTAGAAAACACAAAGGAAAAAAAAAAACACATTTGAAAGGCAAAATAAAAACAGGAAGAGAAGCAATTGACCCCAACGCTAAAACTGAGGACTTACACATATGAAAATGTTTTTGTAGCCTTTGGAATCAACCAGCACTAATCTTGGCTGTCGGGAGGAGACAGAAGGAGCGCGCAGAGACTCCAGTTTACAGACGGACTGCTCTCAAGGTAGGCTTCTCCAATTCCTTAACATCCTGCGAGTCTCCATGACACGGCAGGCCCGTGGTGGGCATCTGTCAGTACTTCAGAAATTGATTTTAATTGCGTATGTTCATCAGAGAGGAAGGTGATGATGCACATGTGTTTCTAAGGGGACACTGACAAGGGACAGGAGACTTCCTGCATACAGGGAAAGAGCATGAGTAGGGGTGAGGATTGAAAGAGGGCAAGGGGCTAGGAGGGACCGGTGTTTCCTCCCTGGGGTGATGCTTAAATTACTCTTGTCACTGTGGTTCTTCAAAATTGACTGCGGAGGACTAAATTGATTACAGATTACTATATGAAGGGGAGGGGCTGAAAACACATCTTTAGAACTTCATTAACAGCCTCTGCCACTTAGCGTCAGCTTTTACCAGCTTTCCCCTCTCTACCTCAAAGGGGGGCAGCACTTTTCCATGTCCTCTTTATTCCTGTTCTATTTAAAGAATGTTTTCACTCTGTTATTGTTTCTTTCAAATGTCTGTTCATATTCCACCTCATTTTTAACCCTTTTTCTGACATTCTTTTCCCATCTACGCAGCATTTCTCCCCCTACCATTGCAGCCTGCTTTCTGCTTTCTCGGAAAGAATACCTGTTTTTGTTTCCATGGCTCAGTGATGAACCTGCTAGATTCTTAGCTTTCTGAAAACAGCTCCATACTATTATTTAACAGGAAATGTTGTTTCTTATGCGTTGGAGTCGAGCTCTTAAAAAAAAAAAAAGTAGACAAACAAACACCCACTGCGTTTATGCAGAATGATAGATTTGATGAAAGGATTTAAAGCATTGCTTCTCACATTTTAAAGTGCTGCAGATCACCTGAATATCGAATTTAAATGCAGATTCTGATGGATCAGATCAGGGGCAAGGCCTGGGACTCTGCATTTCCAACAAGTTCCTTTTTGAGCATGATTTTGCAGAATCATTCCTTCAAATATCTACTTCATCTTATAAATATTATTCTTTTAAAATTTAGAAATAGTCTTTATCTATAAACTGCATTACTGCATGGCCAGGGGAAAGACCACGAATTCTGGTCCTTTTGATCTCCACAGTATCTTAGCAATTGTCCGTGGTAGAGATATTGAGGACAGTGGTCCTGGGAGGGGAATTGTTGATGGGGACGTGAAGACATGCCCCTTGCGTAACAGGAAATTGGGAAAGAATTTTATTCTTGGATTTTATGCACATCAGTTATTTTTCCTGGAAGGATAGTTGGTTAAAGAAAACTAGTCTTCCTTCGAGGCCAAAGGGAGTGTCGGTGGTGGAAATGCTTGTTGTTAGGGGTGATGCTGGTGATGGTAGTGTTGGTATCTGTGGTGATTTGGTGGTGGTGCTAATTATGACAGTGATGATAGTGTCAGAGGAGGTAGGTGTGGTAGTCAGAACAGTGAGGGTGGTTGCACTAGTTGTTCTGGTGGCGCCGTGGTGGTGGTCGACATGTGGATAAAGGTGGCAGTAATGGTAGTTTTAGCAGTTTGTGCTGCCAAGATTGGTTTTCGATCCTGGTTCAAGCCATTTAACCTCTCTGTGTCCTTAATGTCTCTGAGTCTCAGTTTTCTCATTTGAAAAATGGGATAATAAAATACTTAGCGATGAGTATGCTGTGAGGGTTAATTGAAATACAGTATGTGAAGCCCTTAGCACAGTGTAAGGCACACAGCTGCTGTTTCATAAATGTGTTTGAGTATTTATTGGTAAAACTGATTTTAATTCATTCCTTTTTTTAGAGGTAAAATTATATTTCACTGTTAAAGCTTTTTTATTGTCTTTACATTTTTAGAGCATTTTCAGATTCAAAATTGAGAGGAAGGTTCAGAGATTTCCCATGTACTCCCTGTCTGCACACATACATAGCCTCCTCCATCAGCAACGTCCCTCACCAGGATGTCAATTCATTCTTAACTTGAAAGTGCGCAGCTAGGTTGAATGCAGACTGTTTAATTTAGTTTATGTTTTCTTTCTGTCTGTCTTTCCTGAACTTATCCTTATTTGCTCAGAATGAGAAGCCATAGATTTGACATTAAACTTTGGATAGTAAGTGAATAAAGTCAGTTCAATCATATCCTACTTAAAAATTACTCTCTTTAATTTTAACTTTTTAGAAATTGACACTTCTAGAATATAGCGATATATCTTTCCATCCAATATATCTTTAACAATCCTATAAACTGGGAGGTCAGAGCCAGTGTTCTAATAAATGGATATGTTATTTTCTATACATTTTCTTATATTTTAATCCAGGATCTTCCTTCAGTACCATCCTCCTCCTGTCCACCAAGGGAGTGATCAGAAAATGTGAACAAGTTGAATATTGGCTGTAGACATACAAAATTCCCTCTTTGAAAACTTTAAGTAAAAAAAAAATCCAAACTTCCTGGCCAAGTATTCAAGATCTTCCCAACTTGTAACTACCTTCGTAGCCAATTATTGTCCAGTTATCACCTGAGCATGGCATGTTTGTGTCACACTAGGCTGTTCTTCCATTGGTAGTAATAGCTTCGATGTATTAGGGACCCACCACGTGCCAGACAGTGTGCAGCCTTTTCCATGCACTGTCTTATTTAATCTCACGTTAACCCCGAAAGGAGCATGTTATTATTCTTAATTATCACTGTCACAAAATAAATAAATGTTTCAACTCTTGTATTTATATTCAAAGACCTGCTCTTAGCAGGATCATGTGTAGCCTCCCTCAAACTCTCTTGCTCACCTGCTTCTCTGCTTTTGTTCTTGGTGAGTTTCCATTCTGGAAAGTTATCTTTTTGAAAATTGTTATTTCTTGTAAAATCCTAAAAATCTTTCAAGGCTCTACCCAAATGGTATTGACTGGGGAGTGCCTGAATTTGAGTCCTAGTCTTGTGACGTTAGGCAGTTCACTTTCTTTCTCTGTACTTCAGTTCCTTAGCTGAAAATGCGAGTGATCATAATTGTATTCTCAGGTTCATGTGAGGATTAACTATATGTATGCCTTCATTCTCTCTCTCTCTCTCTCTCTCTCTCTCTCTCTCTCTCTCACACACACACACACACACACACACACACACACACACACACAATCTTTATCTTTGTGGCCACGAAGAAGTTAAATCAGTTCCTGCACAAAACACTATATCAGTATTTGTCGTAAAAGCAGAAGTTACCTTAGTGATCATCTGGGAAAATCCTCCTAATTGGAAAATGATGAATCTGAAACTCATAAGGCTTTGTAACTCTGTCCTGTGTCACATAGTTGCTGGGACAGCCAGCTCTAGAATTCAGGATTTTCACTTCTTTTACATTTTTACATTGGAATACTCTGCCCTGTAAAACCTTTCTTAACTTGCCTCTGAACTTCCTTGTACGTTGTTCTTCTCAGACAAGGAACATTGCATTGTAACTCTCTGGGTATGTCTTTTCCCTCCAACTCAATTGTGATGTCTTTGGGTGCTGGGCGGCTTCCGCGTTCATCTTTGTTTCCCACACAACACTGATGCTCACCGTGTGCACTCACATAGCATTTCATGAATTGATTGAACATCTGCTATTACAATGATAGGAATTGATTATTCATCTGTGAGAAATTGAAATCCAGGTGCCTTCCCATCAATTTTCAGTCCTCTCAGCAGCTCTGTGGGATGGGTACAGTTACACAGAGGAGGAGATAGAGGTTCAATGGCTCAGGGAAGAGACTAGAAGGTTAATTGCACAGGTGATCTAAAACCAACCAAAGTGAAATTGAACAGTGTGTTATTTGTGTTTTGGGCAGCTAAATCTTCATTGTCTTCTTTTAATTTAAACAAATGAGAACTGCTGATCTATTATTTGCTTTTAATGTCTGTGCCGTGTTGATTTTCCTCATATTTTCCATTCTCTGTGTTTTCTTTATTTAATAGAGATTTTTGGGAACTCGAATTATATGTTTTTCAGTTTCCAAAAGTAAAATTTGTTGTAGAATATTTAGAAAACAAAAAGGAAGAAATAAATCACCTATGACTTCACCAGTCAGAGATAAGCAACATTAACATTCTGGTTCTTTTCTTCCCCTGTTTTGCCGTGTTAGAAATATTAATTGTATCTTCTTATCTTTCTCTTATTTTAAATTACATTTAAATTGAGATGATCATTTTCTTTGCAACCTACCTCTGTCAGTCATCATCTAGAACCTAGAAAAGGTAAGTTGCACATACACTTAGGGGGGCGTATGATAAGAATTTCGAAGTATAGATTGCATGATTTTCATGCATCAGGAAAACTCTTTGCAGCTTTTACCCAGCCTGGAACCTGTGTTCTTCCAGGCACAACTACAACAGCACAAATAACATCAACCACCGGCACAGCGGTGCCTGTGTAGAAACAATGCTTGTCAGTGCAGTAAAGAGAGTTCGTTATCCAGAGTACGAGGCACAGCGCAGCCAGCATGGCTCAGTGGTTGAGTGTCGACCAGGTTGCGGGCTCAGTCCCCGTGTGGGGCGTGCAGGAGGCAGCCAATCAATATTTCTCTCTGATCATTGATGTTTCTCTCTCTTTCTCCCTCTCCCTTCCTCTCTGAAATCAATAAAAATATATATTTTTTAAAAAAACAGGCACAAATATTTAGAACAAAGCACATTGAAATTTTTAACATTTGCATGCACCTGCTTTGGCATTAGTATAAATCAAAATTAGGTAAATGAAAGGGATAAAGTGTATGTACAGCATTTTAAGTCTATGCTTTGAACAGTTGTAGAGAGGCAATTGATACTTCTTGACATACTGTATAACTTCCTAATGTAGGTGTGTAAAGATGATCCTCTCCCAGCAGGTTCCATGATGAAGAGAAGTGAGCAATGCAGAATCTGAATGAGGCAGGAGGAGACTCTGTTGGACAAGAATATTGATGCTAGGTGGGCCTGAGGGTTTTGCCTATTGCTTCCTGAGTAGGCCTGCAAGTTTTATTAGTAGGAATTAGGTATGGCTGCAAGAACCCTAATAACCGTGGATTCATAAT